GGAAAAAAGCTAATGGCTAGGTCTGTATCCAGTCCACCCTACCCAAGACACCAGATAGATAGGACCAATATTGGGTAATGACTTTTTTCTGTGCTGTTTTCCTTTCTATATGTATGCTTTCTGGTAATTTTCTTTTTCTTTTATTCCCTAGTCATGATCATTGTATTGCCCTTAGTTGCAAGTATGATATGCTTATTATCGTTTAATGTGTCAATTTTCTTGTTTTGGTTGCTATTGGTATTGGCGTTGTTGTTGCTGTTTCTTTTTTCTCCTCTTTTTGCCTCATAAAATTTTAAAATGTAGGAAGGACTGATGCAAAATCATGATGAGCAAACCTACAATTTTCTAAAGAATTCTTTAGTCAAAGTTTTACTTTGTCCCCGATCTGCTCACCCCTCGTAGAACTATTCTCCCTGAATAATCATTCACAAAGCAACAATCACGATGGAATTCAAAAAACACATCATTATCATGTGTAAAGTGACTAATGGATAATAAATTCTTGCAAATAGATGGAACATGGTAGATATCCTTTAATGTAAAAGCATGTTGATCAAATAAAAGAGAAGATGAACCAATGTGATGTATGCACAAACCTTGTCCATTATCAATTTTAACTTGATCTAATCCTCTGTACTCAAATCGATTTTGTAAATTGCCAATTCTGGTGTCATGTGATGAGTGGCACCCGAGTTCGGATACCATGTTGGATCAAATGCGGGAGTACTACCAAAATTGGAATTCACGAATTGCATTGGAGGAGAACTAACACCTCCATGAAAGGTTGATGGTTCGCTATAGGAATCATTCTAAAAATTGAAAACATAACGTGCACGATGGCATTGAAGGGCACTATGGCCTACCTTGTTGCATATTTGACAAATAATTCCAGAGTTCTTACCTCCGCGACCTCCTTCATTAAACTATTATTGTTGATGAGGAAAATTATTTTGAAAGAATTGGAGATTGTACTGACCGTTGCTGTGTCCACAACCATGACCACGACCCCCATTATTAGTCATAGGGTAAAACTGTTGTTGCTGTTGTTTATTATGCTGAGAGTTGTTGTTTCCTTTGCCTTTGACTTCAGCAAAATTAGCATTAGGAGATTCAGAGAATCGAGCCTGATCTTCAAGCCACGGCTCATGATTAAGTAAAGATTCAAGTACCTTTGAGATGGTGAGATCGACTACATTTGGACGGTTGGTGAGAACAATCACTATTGATTCGCACTCACTTCCCAAGCCAACAAGGATGTAGAGAGCAAGTTTGGAGCTTGAAATTGGTTCTGAAATGGTGTGTAGACTGTCCGCAATGGATTTGGTGCATTGGACGTAAGCTAAAATAGATAGTGATCCCTTCTTGAGATTTTGAAGTTGCCTCTTCATTTGAAGCACCCTTGATTGAGAGTGTGTTGAGTAACTCTGAGCCAAGGCACTTCAGACTTCTGCTGATGATGTCAAACCTATGATTTGTCCCATTACACTTTCAGTGAGAGATGAGATCAACCAGCTGAGAACAAGTCCATCCATTTGTCGAATTCTGGGTTTTGAATGCTTCCTAATCTAGTGGGATTGGGAACTTCCTCCGGTGGTGGTTTTGTTTTTCCTTCCATGAACTCAACCGGATGGTGATGGCAGAGGATAGGTAGGAATTGTGCCTTCCACAGTAGATAGTTGTTTGCTGTCAATTTGATTGACAGGTAGTGCATCACTCTGTATAGTTGGTATAAAACTCGTAGTCATCGGAAAATTGAATTCCTGGCCTTGAGCATTCGAAGACATGTGGGTAGAGTTGTTGTTCGAACTGATCGACATGGCTCTGATACCAAGTTTGATTAATAGAATAACAAAGAATAAAAGCAAGATTGAATATGATTTGGCTGATTATTGATCAACCGTGAATTCCTTTATTTTTATAGAAGTCTAAGACTTTGAATCATACAATGAGCCAATATACAAAATTTAAGATAAGCAAGAATACTGTCAAGATGATCTACAAGGATAAGCTTATCAAGATGAAATTCGGAACTCTTATCATGATCCAGATCTGATAGACTCAGATCAGGATACGTATGTTCTATCAAAGATGACCCACCCATCTCCATATGGGCCTACGTCGGAGGATTGGAGGTAGAGCTGAAATTGAAAATGGCGATTTGAGTGTTGGTTGAAATTGAACTATACCAGACTGGAATTAAACAAGAATGTTAGAAAAAGCTCGATCGGCGCATGTTTTAAACTCTGGAATTAGTTGAATGCAATTTTAATTTTCATTGAGACCACCCCAAATCTAACAAAACTATAATCTGTTAGTATATTCACGGGTCACTAAAATAAAATCTCATTTCTATGCATTAAAACTCTTTACGCTTTTCTATCTCTAACTTTAGTAGAAAAAAATGTACATCTCTAACTTCCTTCTCATCTTTAAATTTGTCCTATATCTAGCTTCCTTCTTAACTGTCTTGTTAAATTTACCAACTATAAACTGTCAGGATCTCTGATTCATTGCAGCATAGACTTGGGATCAAATCCCACTGCCCATTTTACATGCAGGATCTCTCTCTTTCTCTCTCTCCATCGTTAAACAGCTATACTAAGGCTCTGGATTTGCCACGACATGTAAAATGGGCTTCCAACCACACATGGATAACACCCCATACGTGCCACACAATACATCCCAACTATGCATTGGGAATATTTCTGGATGACAAGTATGGGAATGTTTTTGATGCACACTAAAATGTGCATTTAGAATTCAGATTAACTGAAAAGTGATGGCTGTTCAATGAGCTGTAGAACCAATGAAAATGTTCCATGCCATTAATAAATTTATGGACCCCATTGTGAAATGTGCAGGTCCCATGTATTTTATTACTAGTGTGGAGCATTATCATTGGTTCCACAGCCTGCTGAATAGCCATCACGTTCAGTTAATCCTTGCCCATGCATGTGGGGCACATTCCAATTCCACTCAACCAAACAATTGGAATCCGAATAATCCATTTCGATTCCAATTCCAGACCCTATTCCTACAAACCAAATGGGGCCTTAACTTTGTCAGATTTAATTGATTTCTTCTAAGAAATTGCTAATTTTATAACATATCATAAAATATTGAAGCCCAACATGTTATAATTTATTGCAACATAACAAAAAAAATACTGCCTTAATTAGAGTTGAACTTGGTGGCCTTGAAAAACCAACTTGCTAGTCTTAATCAAATACTGATTGCCAATAAAAAACAAATAAATATTGCTGATTGGTGATTTGAAGAAAATTTTGTCCATGAGTGCAAGAGAATATGAGAAAAAAATGATTACTGAATGTGAATGGTTAATTAGAGAATAGTTGGAAAATGACTTGTATGTTTACTTTCTAATATCCACAAAGGTCCTTATAGAATAAGATTAATTAAGGTTGTAATTAGGTAGGATTTGGATCAAATATTTTTTTTTCACTATTTGGATCAGTCCAGCTACATACAAATCAAATCCGACTATATCAGACAGATTGTATTCAGATTTAATCTGAACCCACTTTTTTGTGTTTAAAATGAAGAAAGTTAAAAATTGAAAAAAAAATTATTTTTCAACTTTTACATATATAAAATGTTTAAATTTATCAATTATAAACTTCATATAATTATATATATAATAATAAATTTTAATTGGAATTGATCTTAATTAGATTGGATTTCAAACGTTTGAAGCCCATTGGGAGCCATATTATAATTGAAAGCCTAAAATATTTTGATGTGAAATGTTTCCTCCACAATTTACAAAAAACAAAAATATACATTAGTGAATTTTTTTTCAAAATGAAGAAATAATAAAAGATGGAAATATCTTTTGCCACTTCAATAGATGAAGAACGAGGAGAGGCCGGGCTTTAACGAATGAATTAAAACCTTAGGGGTATAAGTGCTATACTTCAATTTTAAATTAAACCCAATAATTTAAATTTCTCAAACTTTAACCATTTGGACTCTTGGTCTATGATGAAAAAATTCAAGATTTTTCCATTTTGACAGTTGTTAAATTATAATTATTAATACTCTATTATTTTATATATAGCAGTGCTTTATCGATATTACTATTTTAACATTTTTATCATTTTAATATTTTATTACATGCAAATTAAATGGTTGAAACCCAAGGTTTGTAGAAATCCTAAAAAAAATTGGCTTAAAATATTCATTTGATGTCTAATAAACTAGGAAGGGAACCTGCACTTTTGTATGGGTACAGGCATGAGTAAAAAACGCAAAAATTAATTAAAAATAAAAACAATATCAAAGGAAGAGAGAGAGAGAGAGTGTGTGAAAGAATGCAAAAATTAATTAAAAATAAAAAACAATACCAAAGGAAGAGAGAAAATGAAAGAACGCAAAAATTAATTAAAAATAAAAAACAATATCAAAGGAAGAGAGAGAAATCACTCATGTGTGAATTCAACCGGATGCAATAATATCCACCTATCGCATCCCAACCCTAACGCATTCACTCACACATGGACACACCCTCTTCGCATCAATGTCATGGACTTCAAAAGTTTAATATCTGATTCGACTCTAAATATAATGATTTGATTAATAATTGGATTAGATGTGTATTTAATTAATCCATATCAAGTGTAATAAAAAATTATTATTTTATATATATATGTAATATAATTATGTATAAATATATAAAATTTATAATTGATAAAATTAATTTTTTTAATTTTTGATCATTTTAAATATAACAATAATATGATAGTTGCGGGTTATATCCGAATCTGATCTAAAATCCGATATTGTTTTGATAAGCCGATCTGAAATCCGATATGATAATGGGATGCGAATGCTTTTTCAGAGGTTTGATAATGAGATGCAGATGCGGATTGATCCGATCCGATTATCTCTATAAGACTCTAAACAGTGCTCTACAAGTCTACAGCAGCTTTATGCTGGATTGTTGGCTTACTGAATTAACGTGTCTCAAACGTCTCTCTCTTTCTCTCTCTCTCTGAGAGTCAATCAGTCAATCAACTAAAACGACTCCATCTTACCTTCTTTGTTTGCAATTTACAAAGACTGACTTTGAAAAGTCGAAACATAGATTAGTGTCTGTGAATGGAAAATTACAGTTCCTTCTCGGTCAACGGTCTATCCAGACACCCTCCACCTCCTCCCCCACCATCGCCGCCGCTGCCTATATTCTTTTCTAATTCATCCCATTCCATCACAAACCCAGAACATTTATTCCCGTCTTCATACTCTGTGCCTGCGTCTGGAATCCGTCTCTCAGGAGGTTGCAGAGCCCGGGGGAAAGTTGTATCAACTGTGCCGACATGTATGGTTATTCAGCTCCAGCTGATTCTTCTCATCAGTCTGCTTATGCCCATTCGGCGTCCTTTGATGGCTCGGTTCATAGTCAGGGTGTAGAGATACTTTCCTCATTGTACTCGTCTCAGAAGTCCTTGAAGGTCTTACTCTTACATGGGAATTTAGATATTTGGGTCTGTGAGGCCAGAAATCTTCCCAACATGGACAAATTTCATAAAAGCTTAGAAGGCATTTTTGGGGGATTGCCAAAGAATCTAACCAGCAAGTTCGAAGGGAAGATTTCCTCTAAGAATACCAGCGATCCTTATGTCACGATTTCAGTAGCCAATGCCGTAGTTGGGAGGACTTATGTGGTCAGCAACAGCGAGAACCCTGCTTGGATGCAGCACTTTTATGTTCCTGTAGCACATTATGCCGCAGAGGTTCATTTTTCTGTCAAAGACAATGATGTCGTGGGCTCCCAGATTATAGGTTTTGTGGGGATCCCGGTGGAGCAGATACGCTCAGGAGCAAAAGTTGAGGGAACTTACCCAATCCTCGACGCGAGCGGGAAGCCCTGTAACCCTGGAGCTGTCTTGAGAGTTTCAATTCAGTATACTCCTGTAGAGAAATTGAACATTTACCATCATGGAGTTGGGCCTGGTCCTGATTATGTTGGTGTTCCAGGCACGTATTTTCCACTGAGAAAAGGTGGAAGAGTTACACTCTATCAAGATGCTCATGTTCCTGATGGTTACCTCCCAACCCTGAAGCTTGATAATGGCTTACACTATGGGCATGGGAAGTGCTGGCATGACATCTTTGAAGCAATAAGTCAGGCTCGCCACTTAATTTACATTACTGGGTGGTCAGTGTACCACAATGTGAGACTGGTCCGAGATGGTTGTGCATCCAACTCCACCCTGGGGGACCTTCTCAAGTCGAAGTCACAGGAAGGTGTGAGAATTCTGCTTCTTGTATGGGATGATCCAACTTCACATAATGCTTTGGGTTACAAAATGGTAATCAGATTGACTTCTTTATTGTTCCTATTCATGGTGATGGTATGATTTTATAATTCCATTTCTGATATCCTTCTTGTTACTGCTTTTGTTGTTACTGTTCTATTTTTTCTTATTATATGATTAGCATAGTCTTGTTACTGCTGTTGTTGTTGTTGTTAGAACCAAGGTTCAGGTAGTGGGAAAGGCTTTATTAGCTAATATTTAACATAATATATGACTTCGGATAGAGTGGAATGGAAGAAAAGGGTTTGTGTTACCAATTCCTGTGTTCAATATATAAGGCACATAATGGTTTATCATCACCATCAATTTTATGGACTCATTTACTAAAGCAATTTAGGATGATACAACTTGAAGAGAATAATCCAATGGGTGATTTTTTTTTTATCACAAATATGAGATTGTAGGCTCAATACCTACTTCCCACTAAAGAATGGGAGATTCTCTTTATTTGATAATTCATAGATGAGTCACTGATAATTGGTGTATGAATAGAAATTTAACATAAAAAAGATATAGCTTTATGCAATCATTTGATCCCTTATGAATTCCTAACAGTTAATAGTGAGAATGCACAATTTCTATCCTTAAAAAGATATAGCTTCTCTCTCTTTCTGTTTTCTTTTTTTCTCCAAATATTTCCTTCACATACTGGTGGTGCCAATGGTTTCAGTACATTTGGTAAAAGAGTGGAAACAGGGAAGTAAAGAAGTTGTGATCTTATTCAACTTTAGTTTAACCTTATAACTATAAGCAGGTGAGCTAGCTCAGAATTTGCAGAATGATTGTCTACTCGTATGCCTAACTTCTGGAGATTATTCAAATGACCAAACTGTAGGGATGGGAGATCCATCATATGGATGGCCGAACCCTACAGGAAGGTTGGGCGAAATTTCAAAAATTTCTTTACTCCCATCCATGAATCCTATTTCCAATTTAGAAAACTGCATTTTCAAGGTTCGTTCTTGTAACCAAACCGGACCAAATCTGAAACCAAGTTCAGGGAGGGATATACCTGATATGGAATCCGCGAAAAAATCTTCTCCCAACGTAGGTGTTCACGCCCAAAGAGTGTACCAAATCCTCCCTCCACTGAAGATGACACAACTTAGGATGAGATAGGATCAGCAGGTAGTTCTTCACCAAGAAATTGTGATTCTTCAGCAAGAATCGAATGGGGTAGTGAGCAAAACTTCAAAATTGTTTCTTCTAGCAAGAAACAATATCAAGATCAAATCTTGATCAGATCCAAGAACTGGAGATCGAACAGGGTTGGGCGGCAAGAATAGGAAGAAAAAGAACTGAAGGCAAGATCAGTCTGACTGAGTTGTCTTCTCTCTGTGTTTTGTGTCTTTTTCAGGTCCGCCTTGCTCTCTATTTATAGCCTTAAAGAGACAACCTCCTAATCTGATTAGTAGTTTCATGATCCAAATCTTTATTTGGATCTGAACTCTTTAAGTGATAAGGATAATCCCTTATCTTATCTGCAGTTCAAGATCAGCTTATTCCTAATCAAATTAGGAGTTTCCTGATCCAAATCTTTATTTGGATCTGGACTCTTTAAGTGGATAAGAGTTATCCTCTTATCCTTATCTGTTAATCCAAACCCAGATCTGCCCCTATTTAATTAATCCAATTAACCCAGTTCGAAATGGGCTTTTAGGCCCATTAAGCTTTCAGGCTCATTTCCTTTTAATGTTGGCTAGCTTGGCTCTCTTTCTATGGCGTGGGACCCTAACATTGATCTACACATCAGCCACATGGGTTCAGCCTAACCTCTGTTACAAAGCCTGGCCGAATTCACTACTGAATACAGTGAACCCCTGAGTCCATCACTATGGGCTCTTAATGAGCCCAACATTTACACTAAATGGTCCTTGGGTCCAGCCATCTTATGAAGGCCCAAGGACTATGGGCAGATGCAAGATTAGCCCTTCAGGTATAATCCTCAATGGTCTTACACTTAACCTCTCAGCCCTTAATGATCGAATACTGCTCGACAAGAGAGGACCTCTCCCTTAGCTGCAAGGTACAGTGTTACACTCTCTACTCACATGGATCCTAAGAATTAAAACCTTTTGCAAACATTTTGAAATCATAATATATATAAGTATATCTCTATATAAATATATTTTGCAAATTGAAACACATTTGAAATCCACCGCCGGCAGTTTAAGTTTCCATCAGAGAGAGTGCATTTCCCGATCATTCACTTTGTTCGACAAAGGGGCTGATCTTGTCACTATGATCACCCACTCAAATGAATTCTCGGACTATCCCAACATACCCAGGTTTTGACCCCCTCTAAGGATCTCACTGATTGGCACATCAA